ATAGATGATAGATAGATAGATAGATAGATAGATAGATAGATAGATAGATAGATAGATAGATAGATAGATAGATAGATAGATAGATAGATAGATAGATAGATAGATAGATAGATAGATAGATAGATAGATAGATAGATAGATAGATAGATAGATAGATAGATAGATAGATAGATAGATAGATAGATGATAGATAGATGATAGATAGATAGATAGATAGATAGATGATAGATAGATAGATAGATAGATAGATAGATAGATAGATAGATAGATAGATAGATAGATAGATAGATAGATAGATAGATAGATAGATAGATAGATAGATAGATGATAGATAGATAGATAGATAGATAGATAGATAGATAGATAGATAGATAGATAGATAGATAGATAGATAGATAGATAGATAGATAGATAGATAGATAGATAGATAGATAGATAGATAGATGATAGATAGATAGATAGATAGATAGATAGATAGATAGATAGATAGATAGATAGATAGATAGATAGATAGATAGATAGATAGATAGATAGATAGATAGATAGATAGATAGATAGATAGATAGATAGATAGATAGATAGATAGATAGATATGTTCGCTGCTTTTATCCGGAGAACTCAGAGACAAAATATGGTCTCCAGGTGTCTCAGCAGAAGCTGTGGGAACTTGACCCTCCATGAGAAACGTCCACACAGGTGTACCACCAACGTCCCAGTATTTACCCTGTGGGACTCCTGCAGCACCCTGTTGAGCCTTGTGAGCATCGTCTGACACCAAAACCCGGCCTTGGCCCCGGGGGGAATCCCTGGCAGAGGCAACAATGCCTTCCAGCCCCTTCTTGTGCTCTTGGCCTCCCTAATCAAACCAGCCGGAGGAGTGATTGGATTTTAATACGGCTGGGCCCACCGTAATGGTGTGATGGACGGGGGACTGGTGGATTGGAGCAAGATGTCAGCCCTCGGAGGCCTCCATTAATGATATTGCTTCATTTCTTAAAGTGGCAGGATCGCCTTGGGACACGGGGATCAGCAGTTAGCAGACAGGACTCTCTCCGCGCGCGTGTGTGTGTGTGTGTGTGTGTGTGTGTGTGTGTGTGTGTGTGTGTGTGTGTGTGTGTGTGTGTGTGTGTGTGTGTGTGTGTGTGTGTGTGTGTGTGTGTGTGTGTGTGTGTGTGTGTGGGTTGGTTGTCCTCTCTTGTTGGTCTCAGCAGGTCCGCTCACCAACAGACAGATTATTTTAACTCAAAATTCAAACCGACACGCTTCAGCCGGGATGAAACTAACTTGAACTCTGTTTTCCCACAGCGCCTGAAACGATGAGTCACCGTGTCTTCATCTGACAGCGGCCATATTTCACGACTTTAAAAATCCGTCTCTGCTCTGCTATAATTAAAGTTTGACTCTGTTTCGTCCTCGCTCGTGAGTCAGAAGGTTAATTGAACTTTGGTACTAAATCTGAAACAAAAAGACTTCCTGAAACATTCTTGAACTCCTGAACTGACACTGCTCTGACCCTGACGAACGCCAGCGAGTCTCCCTGGATCCTTTTGATGCCTCCTCTCATCTCGGTGACTCACGCTCGCCTCCTTGTTGTTTGCGTCCTGTGACACGTGTGCGTCTTTCCTCTTCGCCTGATGACAGTTTGGCCTCTTGGAGGCCGGCTGGTAGGTACACAGGTGAGCCCTTGTTGTGTTTTATAGCGAGTAAAGTGGGGGGTGGCTCCAACCCTCCCCCTCTCCTCCTAATGGGGCGTTGGTGTGTTGTTCCTGCAGCAGATTTATGCGTGGACGGGCTGCTGTGATTTACACTGCTCTGACACCGTCTCAGCAGCGGGACGACGGAAGCTGACTGTGGTTCTCTGTGTGTGTTCCAGGTACCGCTCCTGGTTTAGATGAGCACACACACACACACACACACACAAATCCCAGCATGCACTCAAAGCCGTGTGTAATCTACAATTGTCACCCTGCAGGTTCACTTAAAGGAACGAAAACATGATTTGCATTTGAATTATTTTATTTTAAGCTGCTTAAATCAAGATCAAGATGGAACACCATTTAGGACATTTCCATTGCTTCTGTCTGAAAAGGCTTTTATCTGTTTTTTTTTTCTTTACCCGGTTGTCCGCGGTGCTTTTAAGAGTTTAAAGGATCGTCTGTAGATATTTACTCATTGTGTCAGCTTCCCATAAAAGCTGCATCCATTCCTCTGTATCGATGGTGCACGAGTGTGGATGCTGCTCCTTTATGATGCTGTTGTGTCACCAAATGTTAATTTAGTTTCTACCTCTTTATGATGAATTCATCCGCTTTGGAAATGTCTGACGATGAGATCAAAAGTAAAACTCAAACTCAGATGCAAACGCTGGAGTTCAGGTGTTTTTATCGAATAAGAGAAAAACCTAAATCAGCTCTTTAGACACATCTGCTTCTGTCAAACACACACACACACACACACACACACACACACACACACACACACACACACCAAGACCAAGGGTTTTTTTTTTACCCCCCACATGAAGAAAAGAAAAAGATCCCAGTCCAGTTTCTGCATTAAGTCAGCTTGTCAGAACTCTTCCCCTGAGAGCTTTGGACTTGAAGTTGTTCCTCTGCTGGTACCTCTCTCTCTCACACACACACACACACACACACACACACACACACACACACACACACACACACTCGAGGAGCAAGGTCACAATGGAACTGAGTGTTGAAAATGTCATAAAGACTTTTATTTAAATTGTTGGCAGAAAACTGATCCTTATAGTAACGTGTGAACTGTAGCAGCAACGGCTGTTTATCTAAGGTTATTATTATTATTATTATTATTATTATTATTATTATTATTATTATTATTATTATTATTATTGTTGTTGTTGTTTGTTATTGTTTTTGTAATTATTATATATTTAAATCAAAAATAAATATTTGAACCATTTCTATAACTTTTTTTTTTTCAAATTTATTTTCTCAGACTCAGATTTTCTTCACTCAGCTGTTAATCTAAACACATTTTTTACACAAATTAAATTTTGAAATTAAATAAATTAGTTTCCAATTTCCATCCAGATTCTTTATTTTTATGTTTATTTTTATCTCTAAATTTACAACAAAATTTAACGTGATGCTAAATCAACCGTGCGTGCAAAAAAAGGACAAATGTGTCACTTTGCATTGATGCTAAATTGAACCAAATGTTTAGAAATGATAAATAATGTGGGTTTACGCATTTGTCTTTAATTCTTTATTTTTTCTGGACAGAACTGAGTTTAAAGAACGTTTGTTGAGCCATAAAATTAAAATTAAAATATGTTTTGCTTAAGAAACAAATGTTCTGACAATAATTTTATGTGGTAATAATTTACTTTATTTGTTTAAAACAAACTAATGAAATTAAAAGAGAAAGGTTTAATTTATTTATTTATTTCTACAACAAAACAAAATCACTTTTTTTCTGAGAGTAAAAATCCAAACATGGATCGTGTCTGGTTTTGCCTGCTGACGTGTCTTAGCGAGCGGCTGCTTGATCTCATTACGTCCACCCCTCCTCCAATTAGACAATTACGTAACACCTTTAAATGGACTCGTGCTCATTAACGCTCCAGAGTCTCGCTCCCTCCCTCAGACTCGCTGTCATCGCGACACCTCCGCAGCTGATGAATGTGTGAAACTGGTTCAAAAACTCAGAGCAGGAAAAAGTGTCCAGGCCAGACCCCCCCACCCCCCCCCCCCCCACCCCCCCACCCCCACCCCCAGTGCGTGGTGGACGGTGTTTGCGTCTGAGCTGCTGTTTGTTTATTTAAGTTTTTAATTTTATTTTACGCACCAAGAGCGGACCAGTGTGGACCCGAACTCTGATTTAAATTAAGGAGAAATTAATTAAAATATTTTTGTCTTTTTTTATTACATCGATCAGATTTTTGTAATATTTTAAAAACACATAAAAATGTTTGTTTTGCGATATTTTCTTAACTTTATTCCAGTGGAATAAAAATAACCGTGAAATAATTTTTAATTCAATTGTAATAAAATTTTTAAGAAAAAAAACGGAAATTTTGAAAATGAATAAAAAAACAAACGTTTCTGAGCGCGTTGCTGTTGGAAGAGTCGCGCTGCAGCGGAGCGTCCTCGGGCCCTGCGCGCATTCTTGTCTCCAGCCTTTTGTTATTTTCTCTTATCTTAATCTGCACGCATCGTTTGCCTTTTGTATTTGAAATAGCTCAATTACAAATCTATAATCTGCCTTTTGTCATTGGAGATTTCAGTTTAGACAGCGAACTGTAAACATCAACTGGGCTTTTTGCTTCAGCGGAACCAGAAGGTGGGAAAGACAATTAAAACTAATAAAGTCGCGTTTTCTTTTTTCTGCGCATTTCTGAACCAGAAAAGCTCCTAAAGCGAGATTGAGCCGGCAGCTTTATGACAGAAAGATACAAGGAGAGCGTGTTAGGAGGAAATAAGCTGTGCGCGCATCTATCCCGATTGGCCCGTGCGTAATTACGCAATTTATGAAAAGAAGATAAACCATAAAGAGAAATTACCCTCTGCAAGCTGCCTTGCGCCCCTCGGGGGGGAAGGGGGTGAGTGGGGGTGGGGGTATTTTGTTGTGGCTTTAGTCGTGTATCGTTTGCAGGTGATGCCAGGACTAGATAAGAGGTCGCCGATCCCTGCGCGCTGTCTAGACCGGCTTGTGACCGAACCAGAGGAACTGGAAGAAGCGCAATTTACAGCCGAGTTTTGCCCCCAAGATAGTAAATGACCGCTGGCCGAGTCCTGCAACATGACCGAGGGGAAAATACCCCGAGATGGAGCGGGCTGATAACGCGCACGCGCCTGGAGGCTTCGGGGCGGCTTTTGGACAGGACGGACGAGTCGTTTTCGCCTATAGTTTGTGGCAGAAACCCGAAGTTAGAAACAGCGCATTGATTGCACTTAATTTAATAGAACAATATGATTTATGTTACAAAAGATTGGTTGAAAAACTGCTCATGCAGACACTTTTTATATCCATATTTTTATTTTAACAGGTAATACTCGCCTTCCTAACAATAAATAATATAACAATAATTTACTTTTTGTCCGAGAAGCTCAAACAACCTGAACGCTGCCCTTAAGATAAAAGTATTTTACAACACCGATACTTTTTCAGACTACCATGCACTGACTGTAAGACAAAGAGTCAGCCGGACTCGACGCAGAAACGTATAAAAATGTTCATGTAGAAGAAACAAGACAACAGTGGAAATGCACGGAGTCCATCTGAACGGGTTCCAGTTCGGTTCTTTCCTCGTTTTCTTCTTTTTTTCCCTGTTTGTTGGAGTAAATCCTGCAGAAGCTCTTCTGTACATCTTTCTCCTCCACAATTCATGCATCAGTTTCTGCCAACAAGATGTCACAAGAACAAAACCGTTTCTCTGCTCCGTCTCCTCAGAGAATAAAAAAAGAAGAAAATCCTCAGAAATCGGGGTGATGTGATGATCTGGTCACATGCAGGGAGAATTATGGAGGACAAGGAGGAGGAGGGGGCCGGGATCATGCTGCAACTGTCCTTGCAGAAAGGTGGAGGTGGAGGTGTGTTCGGGAGGAAGAGGGAGTGAGACACCAACATCAGGTCTCACGTCTCCACCGGACTAGGTACCATACTGTTCGGGGTGTCCGGTAACTGGGAGGACAGGGACGTCACGTCGCTGCCCGAAGAGTTCCCGAGAGAACCCGATTCAGAGAAAGAGACCTGGAGAAGGAGAGAGAGTCAGATAGATGGATGGATGGATAGATAGATAGATAGATAGATAGATAGATAGATAGATAGATAGATAGATAGATAGATAGATAGATAGATAGATAGATAGATAGATAGATAGATAGATAGATAGATAGATAGATAGATAGATAGATAGATAGATAGATAGATAGATAGATAGATAGATAGATAGATGATAGATAGATGATAGATAGATAGATAGATAGATAGATAGATAGATAGATAGATAGATAGATAGATAGATAGATAGATAGATAGATAGATAGATAGATAGATAGATAGATAGATAGATAGATAGATAGATAGATAGAGAAGTCTGCCATGAACACACACACCAGTTGTTGGAAGGCCGGCTGGTCCAGGTCGCTCTGCAGAGCAAACTCACTCAGAGCCTTCCATGGAGGCTGGTAGGTCTGGACCTCCACCGGGTTCCCCTGCACTGTGCCCTCGTGCCGGATCGGACTTCCGGCCACGAGAGGCGTCCCTGTGAGACCTTGGAGGTTCTGGAGAAGGAAAAAGATTTTAAACTTCCGCTGTTCTTCTGCAAGAAGTCACTCATAAAAATCACGTTTTATATTAATTCATTCATGATGTGTTTTTAATTCGCGCCAAGTCAGGTTAATCATCCACCCATCAATTTTCTGAACCCCCTTGTCCATGAAGGGTCGCGGGGGGGGGGGGGGGGGGGGGGGGGGGGGGACTGGTGCCTATCTCCAGCGGTCAACAGGCAATCAGGTGGGGCACACCCTAGACAGAGAGCCAGTCCATGGCAGGGCAACACAGAGACACACAGGACAAACACTCATACACACACACACACACACACACACACACACACACACACACACACACACACACACACACCTAAGGACAATTTAGACAGACCAATCAACCGACCAGTCATGTTTTTGGACTGTGGGAGGAAGCCGGAGAGAACCCACGCATGCACAGGGAGAACATGCAAACTCCATGCAGAACGACCCCTGGCCGGGAAGCGAACCCAGGACCTTCTTGCTGCAAGGCAACAGCTCACTGCGCCACAGTGCAGCCTCAAATCAGGTTAATTAATCCTATTTAAGTTGCGCATTAATGGCGCTGCGTTTGGAACAGTTCAGAGTAAAAATGGTCTCTGACAAATCAAAAGGTGGAGCTCAAAAAACCTCCAAAAACGGAAGTAGTAGAAAAGAATCCAGCGGTGAGACTTACGAAGATGCTTACAGTCTTATCACTGTGCTGCTGCTGCTGGAGCTGCTTCATCAGGATGGACTTCTTCTTGTCCTTGCAGCGTTTGTTCTGGAACCAGACCCGGATCACCCTGGGGCTCAGGCCCGTCATCTCCACCAGCTGCTCCTTCATCAGCGCGTCCGGCCGTGGGTTGGCGTTGTAGCAGGTCCGCAACGTGTGCAGCTGCTTCTCGTTCAGCACCGTTCGCACGCGAGTCGTCTTCTCCGACTGTTTGTGGACGTGGTTCCGGTGCGGGGCCTGCCGTACAGTAACCGGGTCTGCTGAGGACGGAGAGACGGAAATCAAAGCCGGCACGCGCACAAACTCCACCTGAAGGCCTTCAAGCCCTCGTGTATCATCACTGCTGCTTTAAAGGATGCCTCAGAGAGAGAAAAGGTCGTTTCTCGTTACCGTGAATTTAAATAAATAAGAAGTAAGATGGTGAAAATAAACACGGAACCAGTAAAGAAAATATTCAATTCTAACAAAAAATATATATGTTTGGGAAAAGGGCTAAACAAAATAAACAATACTCATTTTTAAGACTGCTAACCACGTGTAGTTTTCTAAATATAAAAATATCAGTTTGCAATAAAATTAAAGTTTTAATTTATTTAAATCTAAAAAAAATTCAGCAAACTGTCGCTTTAGGCCTGAAGCTGAGCTGCAGCTTCAGTGTGAGGTCAAACAGGAAGTTGGGCTGCATTATTCACACGCGCGCGCTCACACACACATACGCACGCGCACGCACACACACACACACACACACGCCAATTTTAGTTGAATTAGGGCAAACAAAATTAGAGAATTAATTTTAAATAGATGAAGTTTTTCAGCTTTCAGTGATACATTTATAATAATCATAATAATAATAATAATAATAATAATAATAATAATAATAATAATAATGATGATGATGATGATGATGATGATGATGATGATGATGATGATGATGATGATGATGATAAACGGACCTGTCAGGTGCAGCGGTCTGTTGGGGTGGATGTGTCCGGGGCTGATGGGGCTTCCTGCAGGGCTCCGCTCCAGCAGCAGGCTGTGGTCCGCCCGGCAGAGCAGCTCCTCTTCCCGCAGAGAGAACTCGTCTCCCGGCAGCAGCTGCCTGCTGCACACCGAGCACCGAAAGCACTCGATGTGGTAGACGTTACCCCGAGCCCTCATCACCAGGTCGCTGCTGCTGAATCCCAGGTTGCATTTTGCGCATTTTATTCCAAACAACCTGCAAAAGAAATTGTTATAATGAGTAAAAAAGAGGTCTGAAATCTGTTGGAGTGTGTGACAAAACTCAAAACAAATAAATTAGGTAAATGTAGATTTGAGACTTTAATTTTCTCTTATTAATTTCAAAATTTAGCCAGAAACGTTGCATCCGTTTCTCTACATTTTTACGCAATTTCTCCAGTTTTGCTCAGATTTGACTTTATTCTGAATCTTTTTGTTTTCTGTCCACACATGAATCAGGCTTCAGTAGGGAGAGACCCCAGACTCCTACCTTACATAATCTCTTTTGCAGTAAGTTTTTCCGTCCCGGACGAAACAAGTGCAGGTCTCATCCAGGTACTGGCTGCACTCTGCGCACTTCAGGCAGGCTGCGTGCCACTCCAGGTCGGGGGAGACTCTCAGTATGTACTGGTCATGGATCTGACTTCCACATCCTACACACATGGCGAATCCTGGCTTCTCTGCGAACATCCAGCAGCCTCGTTAAGAGCGCAAAGTGACAAACGGTCACATCTTTACTCAATAATCCAGATTTGTGTCCGCAGACGCAAACGAGCCTGCGGGCTGTTATGTAACAACTGTGGCTTTGGCCAGCAAACATTCATGCAACTGAACACTGAGGAGCTCCGTTTCACTAAAACAGCTGCTGTATAAATAATCCCGAGTAAGATATGACGCAACATTTGCGCGTTACTATAATAACTGATGTCATGCAGCCTTATCCTTTAAACCGCGTCCGACACCAAATCTGCCCCCTAAAAGTGTTCCGAACACCTCGGCGCGCGACTTACTTTTGGAATGATCCCCCATATCACCCAAGAAAGAAGAGCTGAAGATGATATCCACCATACAGGAAGGATGAAGAGCGGGAAGAGGAGGAAAAAAAGAAAAACCGAGAAGATCAGAGGAGATCTGCGGCCCTTCGGCTGCCTCCCGGATAACTTGTGTCTCTCCGGACTGGAGGGGGGCCGAAGAGGCTACAAGGTCCCGCACGCTGCTCCGGTGACGTCATCACGCCAACACCGCTGCGCTCCAATCGCTCCGGTGCGCCTTTTCCCTGTCAGAATAAAAATAAAGACGAAAAAAACACGAAGACGTGAAGGGAAGACAAAAGATGTTGAATTTAAGTCACGCAGAGAAAAGTCACGTGATTAATCATCTGAAATCTTTTGCCAAAAAAGGGAAAACATTGTTTGTATTAAAACGAACTGATTATTGACAACATGTTTGTTTTTATTTGTGTGGCAGACGCTTTTATCCAAATCGACGTACAAAATAGCAGTTTGTTTGTTTTTATTTAACTTACTAAATGTTCATTCATCCGTCTACAACAGATCCTTTTAACGTCGACTTTAAAGATAAAACAGCCTTGCCTTTGCAACATGTATTTATTTATTTTGCAAAATACTGTCATCTTTGTCTCAGAATAAACAAATACAATAATAATCAGTGTAGAGTAAAAGAGTCCGTTTCTGTTATATAGATATAATAATTATTAATAATATAATGAGATCCATAAATATAATTATTAAATAATTCAGAATGAGTTTTCCTGCAGTTACAGATGCGCTGACCAGACCTGGGCCACATCCTGGATCATCTACTCGAGAACGAGGCCATCTACTGGAGCGCAACCGCAACTGCGTTTATCAGATCGGGGCTCTGACGCAGAATAAAACGATTCTGATGCTGTTATTTAAAACTGCATCTTATGCAACATAAACAAACTAAAATAAATTAATATTGTGCATCTAAAATAAATTCTGGGGACTTTAAATTGTTTTCTAAATCTTTATTTCAGGACAACGCATTGATGCTAAATGTTTGGCCTTAAAACACTTGTTTTATAAACGTTTCGTGTCATTTTTCCATCTTGTGTTTCTTTTGGGATATTTCTGACTTCTTTTTTTCACCAGACATAAAATAAAGAAACACCTTAAAGGCTGAAAAACGAAATGACATCAACAACTATGAAAAAAATGGTTTAGTGGCTGATGTTAATCTAATAATATTTTTTTATGTTATGTAATTTACAGCAGAAATAAATCTGTAAACGCTCCACCAGAGGGCAGCATGAGTGGACGGTGCAGCTTTCTGATGAAGGTACTAATCCTGATGCTGTAATCTCAGAAGCGGTTGGCTAGAATTTGTGACAAAAATCTAATTTTTAAGTTGTTTTTGGGACCAAGCAGCAACATTTTTACAAAAGGGAAATATTTTGTTTCTTGACCCCAGATGAAAGGACATTGATGTTCCGTGCTCCTCGTTTAAACCTCAACCACCGTGCTTTCTACATCTGTAAGTTTTCCATCTGCCATTTAAAAATAATTATTCTAAAAGTGAATATGACCTGTTGTCTCCGTATATGGTTCTGGTACAAACTGTCTGACATTATTTATTTTTACATTAAAAATTTAACACAAAGGCCTTTAAATGTGAGCAAAGTCACACGTAATCCGTCACTGGAATTATAAATTTCCTCTCTATAACCTCAGTAGTCATCAAAATCAAACTTTGCAGATTAAACATGATTTTTCTCATTATACAGTAACTGTCCTTATCTGATGCATTTTTAATTTTACATCATTAAAGTTTTTTAGATTAAGACCAAACAGAAGCTTGAAGTTTTAAACCTGTTTTATTACATCACAAATACTTCAAAACTTCAGTGTTTAAAATTATTTATTCATTAAAATATTAGATTAATAATAAATAATCAATGACGAACCAAACAGAAAAATGTGGGTTTTATTTGCGAACAATACAGGGATATTTTGTATTTTCTTTAATATAAAATATGCGTCTGATAAAATAAAGCTCATTAAAAGAATAATCTTATTTTTTTATGCACCATTAAACCAGCTGGAGCTTCATAAATCAGAATCTCCTCTAGTGGGATGGTTTTTATGTGAAAATGAGACCAGATCCTCACATATTAACCATTAGTAAAATGAAATATGGTAATGTTTCAATCACAAAAGCCTGAATTCTGACATTTCTCATCATTAAAGGGGACATTTTTTGGGCTGCCATGTGGGTCTCTACTGCTTCTATAAATACTCCATATAAATTAAACGTATCCACCTGTTTTTGATCAGTGTTTGATTGTAGGAGGTGTGCCTAAGACAAGCTGCATAAAAGCTCCCCCTTTATGATGTCACAATAAGGGCATTTTGCATGATTTGAATAAAAAAAAAGTGTATTTTCCCTCACCTCTCCATAGAACAGCGGTGCACTCCAAGCCCCTCCAGGATGTCAAAGCCTCTGAAATTATAACAGCCAATCATGAAATGGGTGGGTGTGGCCAGCAACAGCTGGTTTTCTTAAAGTGACAGAGCCCTGAAACGGCTCATTCTGGAAGGTACTCAAACTGTCAAGAATAAAAGTGCTGAGATCACATCATGTGAGAGAGACTTTGTGCAAACAAAGTCCTGAAGATGGAATCTGTCTGTCTAAGGTTAAGCTTACAACTATTGCATGTATTCTCTCTCTCTCTCTCTCTCTCTCTCTCTCTCTCTCTCTCTCTCTCTCTCTCTCTCTCTCTCTCTCTCTCTCTCTCTCTCTCTCTCTCTCTGTGTGTGTGTGTGTGTGTGTGTGTGTGTGTGTGTGTGTGTGTGTATGTGTGTATGTGTGTGTTGGTTGTGACCTTCACTGTAACCATGAACGTCTCCCAAAAGAACCTCTAATCACTATCAAATTGATCCGACCGATAATCTTCTTGAAGTTTAAATAAGTGTGACTTAAACTTTGGCGAGAGCCAAATGTGCACACGAGGAATTCAACCTGGCATCCGCAGCCAGAGTCTTCTCTCCCTAACTCTACCTCTCTCTATCACTCCCTCTCTCTCCTATTGCCAGAGGTGATTTACGGCAGTCATTCTTCTAAACTCCCAGAGCAGAGTCCATCTGTTGTTCTCTTTAAAAAAAACATAAAAAATACATTAACGCAATAAAAAATGTTTTTGTTGTTTTGTTTTTCAAAGGTTAGCAGCCTTTTCTCGTGTCATATTGATTCAATTTGGGACTGATTAAAAACGTTTGGTGTTTTCATCTCAGACTGTTTTGATCCAGTTTTGCACGTAGTCAGAATTTGATTTACCCATAATCCTCTCTGTGTTTATGATGTGGTGCAACAAAAACGAACAAGCAACTTCTCGCGTGTCTTTGTTTTTATATAATAGTCAGAGATTAATGTCTTTGGAGGCAACCTGAGAGAACATCTAAGTGGCCTATGCTCGTTTGAGAGAGCTAATGAGGCTGTGAAATCACTAACTGATGGTGACCTGACTTTGTTGTTACTGTACATGTGAGTAATATTTTATCCAACAGTGAGGAACTTTTAACTTTGTGGCTTATTTTAGTTTCAGTTGGCTCACGTTAGCATTAGCTCATTGTTAACGTTAGCTAGAATGGGCTGCTGCAGGGTTGTTTAGGACAGTTGTAATTCCACTTTCAACCAGTAGGAGGGAGAAGATGGAGACTTTTTTGTGTTGCTTTAAATCGCCGAATATTCACTCATAAAACATCAAAATAAACTCAAAGTGAACTACTGTTGGGCTTACAATCAAAGACAAACATCTAAATTAATCCTGGTGTAAAACTTCTGTAATCTATAAAGAGAATCTGTTCTGCAGAAACAAATTTCATTTCCTGATGTGCATTTCTCTCTCTTTCTGAAAGTTAAAACGGTGCTAAAATATCAAACTGTAAAATCTACGATGACTTTTATAGATTCAAATAAAAAAAACTGAGTTTGAGATTAAAGACGGATTTTAATGGGATTATTATAAATACTGTATACAGTGGGCTGTTTGTTCATGTGAATGAGATAAATTACATCAAATATGTGTGAAAATATATATTTTTTTATAAAGTTATTCAGAAAATAATGTCTTTTAAATAGTCTTAATAAAGATTAAAACCACATGCATCATTTTTTAATTGATTTTATTTATTTTACATATTATTTTGCATTGCTGATGTCAGATTTGTCTGTGCAGGTATTACCTTTAAAACAAATCAGCAAAAATATACAAAAATGCGCCATGCAGGCGAGGTCATACTGAGAGGGGAACCATGTTGCAGATTTATAATTCATCATTCTGCAGAGTTAATGCAGTATTCCATGATAATTAGTATTAATTTTTGATTGGTGCCTCAGGGCAGCTTTGCACTGTTGGTCTGCAGAAGCTGCTCCATTATTCTCTTATTAGTGTAACTGTCAGTCGCCGGTTTTATTCTACAAATGTGCATCTTGTATTTACTATCAGCGGCTCTCATCAGCATCTTGTTGCTTTTCAGCACCTTCAACAGGCGATCGTGTTGCTTAATGAGTAAAGAAGCATTTGTGTTTGAATCTGTCAAAACAGATTTATCAGTGTATCTGAGACTTCTCAGCCCCGCAAATGAAAATTTGATTTCTAGTTGAATTAAGTTACGTTATTTTACTGAATATATTAACTCAATTCCACTTTTAGAATCATTTCTCACAAAACTCTAAAGATTTTTGCAGAAGTTTTAATTTCAGCCCCTTATCGTTGCTTTTATTTTTACCATAAACTCTGGCTTTACCCTGACCATCTGCTGTTTTCAGCTGATGAACCTGACTGTGTCACGATGTTTTTGTTTTGCAGATCACTCGTGTTCTCACACCTGACGGACGTTTTTTCCGTGTAAAGGAGGAGGTTTAAGCATCACTTTGGAGCTTTTATCAACAGGACAGCAGGTGCACAAGTCCCTGACCTGCAGCCTCCACCAGCTGTGCGTGTGTGTGTGTGTGTGTGTGTGTGTGTGTGTGTGTGCGTGCGTGCGTGCGTGAGTGTGTGTGTGTGTGTGCGTGCGTGCGTGCGTGCGTGCGTGCGTGCGTGTGTGTGTGTGTGTGTGTGCGTGCGTGCGTGCGTGAGTGTGTGTGTGTGTGTGTGTGTGTGTGTGTGTGTGTGTGTGTGTGTGTGTGTGTGTGTGTGTGTGTGTGTGCGTGCGTGCGTGCGTGC